AGCAGATTCACGTAGGTAAGCTCAGGCTGACCCTGATGGAGGGATTGTGGAACATAGGCTATCTGGGAAAGAAAATAATGTCAGCTAGGCTCCCCAAGTTTTTGGTTTAAGGAGTAATTACACATCCATTTCCTGTAAGCCATATTTCCACCCCCCGAGAGCTGAGCAGTGCAGGCTGTTAGGATGGTCCTGTGGGCACCGAAGGGCCATCACACACCCAGGAAGGGGAGCCTGGGGACTCAGCTGGCCAACTGGACTAGGAGAAGAAGAGAAGTGAAGGCCATCTGGTAGGAAACATACCAAAGAAGATCTCAAAATCCACTGCTGAATCTCCAGATCAAAGTTTGGGAATCATGACTTACAGAAGTGAGCTACTGCTCTGGGAGAGGCCTGGGGTCGGGGCATGCTCACCATCCTGCAGACTCACCTTCAGAGGGGTGCCCTGGTCTTTTTCTGCTATTGCTTGTATCTTTTTCTCAAGGTTTGTCCACCTTGTTCTCACGTCTCTCATTCAGTTCATCTGTGCATCCCCAGTGCACAGTTTGAGACACACAGAAGGCACTCAATAAATATGGGTGGAATTGGCTCAGCACTCCAAAGGAGTGGTAAAGACATCAGGAGGTCAGAGAAGGGAAAGAGCAGATGAGGATTAGCAGAGTCAAGGAGAGCTTCTTCAGGAAGTGACATTGGTCGGACCTTTAAGGAAGAAAGATGTTTATATGGGCAGAAAGACTGAGGAAAGGCATCAAGAAAGTTATGGAACAGTCAAGTTTGCAGGCAAAGAGCATAGTGCCAATGGCAGGAGAGAGAGGGGCAATGGGCAGTATGGAAGAGCCCTCAACTTGGACAAGGGTTAACTTCGAATGTCCACTTCTCTTTTAAGAATTCTAGTGGTTTTCATTTCAGAGAACTAGAAAGAGTGTGACAGCATTCAAAGAGGAAGAGGTGCCCTGTCTTCCACGGATGTTTCTGCCAGCTTTTGCAGACTGTGGCGCCACGAGGAAATACCATGGTATTGTTACTAGTTCATTTGGACCTCAGTTCTTTGTCTTCTTGAAGGAAAGAGTTCAATTAAGAGACAGGCTTAGAACAGTCTTAAGCGGTTAGAGTTTATTAAGGAAAGCAAAAGTACACTCTCCTGAAGAGCTGAGAGCAGGCTGTCTGGAAACCTGAAGCAGCCGCCTATTAGGGTTAGGGTTGGTGTTTTAAAATGGTGGAAAGTCCCTGCCCGCATCTGACATCCTTTAATCTACATATTGATTGACACTTTGGGGTTATATGACCTTCTTCCCAGTATGCAGGTGCTTACGCATAAGTACCTAAGTGAAACCCTTGGGTAGTGAGGGACAAAAACCACAATGTAAATTCATTATAATTATGGTATAATGACCCCCAAGGAAACTGGGGGATACCTCCTGGGTCTCGCCTATGGCCAACCTGTGCTGGTCTGAAAGCCCTGCTGGGCTTTGTTACATCTTGTTTGGCCCTGGTAAGACTGAACCATAAACAGAAGGGATTTGAGGTAGATTCCAACACCAGCAGGTAGAGAAGGGGAGCACTTTGTCCAGGACAGGGTGAGACCCACTCATGTCCACCACGCTAGCTGACAGTATTAAACCCCAGGTCTGGCCTGGCATGCTTGGTGCAGGCTTTAAAGATGGGTGTGAATGAAGCTGGGAAAGGAGCCAGAGGGATCTTTCAGTTCCTCCACTGAGAGGCTGAAGGTCGCGACAACCACACTCTATGGCAGAAGTCAGGCTGCTGGTTGCTAGGTGAGTGCCCTGAGGAACTAACCTGAAATCTGTTTCTGACAGGAACAGCTTTTCTGGTCAGAAACCTGCTTGCGATTCTTCACTGCAGAGAACACAAACATATGCAGAAATGAGCTTCCAAACTCTGTGGAAGGGTCTTGTTAGAAAAACAAAAAACACCTTCCCTGAAAATTTTTGCCAGTGCAATAATGGGGTTTGCTTCCTTGGCAATGATGAGTCTACTGTGGGAAAGTGGTTTTCCCAGCAACTAGACTGTCCCAGGGCTTTAGACCCTGAGCAAAAAAAAAACAGTAATGTTTACAAGGATTCTGAGGCCACTGCTGGGGTCCAGCCCAAACTTCCCTGCAGACTCCAGAAGGAAGAGAAGAAGGCTTGAGCTCAGCCTGGATTTATCAGCATGAGGAGAGCAAAATAGCTCTGAGGTCAAAAGAAGAAAGAATGAATAATTATTTCTGCAGAAATCATCCTGTTAGGAGGACAAAGCCAAGTGTGAAGCCTCCCCTATGGTTCTCATCAGGTTCTACACCCCATGTACCTGCCTGGAGGGTCGGCTCCATACTCCCAGTCTGTGACTATCTTTTATCTTTATTTATGGTGTCTTTCATTGAATAAACATCTTTCATTTTTATGAAGTCAGAGCCTTTGCCCTGCTTCATCCACCACCTGCAATCACTTTCCACTCTCTAGAAATTGACTCTAGAAATCTTTGGTCCACTCATCATGCTCCTACTTCATTGTAATTCTGGACAGATATTTTTAAAAAATATGTATTTTTTGCTATTATGTTACGGGGGTCTCAGGAGGAAGGTGGAGAAACACAGCCGGTGAACCCACAGTCTTGGATGAGAAGCTTCCTGTCTTTTATAGTGGGAGTGGGGTGGCTATAAAGTATCTGACTCATGCCCCTTCCTTCCAGTCTCACTGATTATAGTCACATCAAGGTGCTAATGGCAAAAGCTGTTTAATTTGGTCTTCTCCAAGGTGGGTTCGGATTTTAACTGGGACTCTTAAAATTCCAGAGTGTTTAGGGGCCCTCAAAATATTTGCTCATAAACCCCCCAGATGAAATTTGTGAAAAATTTATTTACTCATTTTAAAGTTGACATCTATAATTTTCTGTTAGTTTAAATACCTGCAAAGGATATGATTTCCAACATACTGTACTATTGTCATTTAAAAAATGAAACTGTTACATCACTCTTAAATGTGCTGCGTAGAATCTAGATTGGCAAAAATCAGTGAAAGAAATTTCTTCTAAGATCTGAATAAATACCCAGGAAAACATAAAACAGGAAATGTTTTTTAACTTGAAAATGCAATGTTGCTCTATTAGAAGAAAGATGGAAGTTGTTATATCCCTCCTTGTAATTATGCAAAATGTGCAGCTGAGACCTAGACCTAGACACGGGTGAGTGAAAATGCTCACTAAGCTTTTTCTCTTAATAGAGAAGGTGAACATGCAAGGGGCTCCTGCCATATGAAGTCTTGCCTGGCGTGCTTTCCAGAGCTTGAATATTCAAAACCTAAGACAGAGCAGTCACCCCCTGGCCCTGCCACAAAGTCCTGGCTGGGACCATGTGAGGTACCCCACCTTCCGCATCTCCCACCCCTACTCTCATTTTGCTCTTTCTGGCTGCCTTGGGAGAGAGGACATCTTTGAAAATAGACAGGAAGTAGAGGAGGCAAAGCTTATTAAATAAAAGCTGCCATTGGCTACCAGGAGTGATATTTTAGAAATGGGCCTATTGGATCACATCATATAAACTGCCACTCACTCTGTGCACAGATTTGTCTCAGGTGCAGCCAGAGATTTCCTGAGGCTGGGGGATTAGCTGAGCCTCGGGACATATTCCCTGCAGGGGTCTCAGGTTTGCCATAGCACAGGCTGGTCAGAACCTAAGCACCATCTGGAAATGGAAAAGCCATATTCCTTCCTTCTCTTCCTTCAGGATGATTTCCACTTCTCCCCATCCTATGGATGCACAACTGTTGTCCTTCTCTATCAGCTTTTTATTTAAAGGGATCTCAGTGCCTTCCTTAACACTGAAAACTTTAGGACAGATGACAAATTAAACTGTGATTTTTGCCCTGAAAGTTTGTTTCCTCATAGTTTTAAATCAGTATTTCAGACATCACTATACCATATTCACCATGTTTACCACATCCATACATCATATCTACTATCATTTTTTTCTCTAAATTGACTCACCTTTCTACTTTTACAAATTTTAGACAGAAAACTATTGTATCTCTGCTCTACCGAGTATGCCCCCCCATCTTAGCCCAGACTCTGCAGAAAGCAAAGCTGGAAACAAAGGCCTAGTTTTCTGTGAATGGGAATCCAGTGGTGAACGATGGAGGGGTTGAAATGGGAAAGCCAGTCCGACTGTGTTTAACCACGTTGGTCTCTGCTGCAGGCAACTGGTACTCCATCCTGCCAGGACCTCCTAGGGGGTCTCATGACACATCTCTCAGAGCTCTCCGCCTGGGTGACTAAAGTGGAAAGCAGTTTTCCATCAGCTTCCTCCACTCTGGTCAAGAGCAGCCCCATGAGCATTAACTCACCCCGTATTTCCAGGCGGCAGATGTTTGAGTGCAGAACTTCCAGAAACTGAGTGTGAAAGATGCAAGTCCAAGCAAGGTGCTGTCGGCTTCCACCTGAGCCATACAGGCCACCTGGACCAGCATGGGGCTGCTGCTCACCCAGGCAGTGCCCCAGAGCTCCACACAGGGATTTCAGGTGGGCTGAAAACGGGGGAGAGGGATACAAAAATCCTACTCACCCCACCCCTTGGTTCTATTCGTGTACTCAGCCATGGTCAGGGTGCCGGGCATACACTGTCCAGCGGGACCTGGAAGTCCACGCTGTGACGAAGGAGTTGGGGAGGGGTGGGAGTGCAGCGAAGGGTGGCCTTTGCAGCCAAGAACTCTCCAGAAAGCATTCACTACATGTGCAGCGGGTGGCCTGCTCCTGCAGTGGTGTGACTGTGACTAGGGAGGGCTAACTCTGGGTGCTAAAAACAACTTGCCAGAAACTGGGGGCCCGTGAAGCTCACAGATTGTCACCAGGCAAAGTCAGCAGGCTGCCCCACCCCCTGCGGTGGGCTGACCAATGCGGTCTTCTTTCCCCCAGCCTGCATCAGCTTGCAAGCGGTCAGGCGGGAGGAGCCGTGTGGTTTGCTCTTGCCACACCCTCTAGAAGACGACTGATAGAAAAGGGAGAGTAGAGAGCTTCCTCAAACCATATGTAACCAACACCCTACCCATCACCTGCTTTGACCGAAATATTTCTGGGTGAAGATGATCACCTCTATCAAGTAAAAGCAAATTGACAGGGAAGGCCAACTCTGTGATAGATCACCCGAAGAAAACAAGAGCAACTTGCTGTTATTTTGGAGACAGCAAGAAAACACCTCAGGAAAAAAACGTCTCAGAAGTGGGGCCTCATCCTTTGATCTTTAACACAAAAGAGAAAAAGAAGAGCTGTTCTTCGGCAGGTATGTACATTTACTATTACCTTAGTATGGGATAGCTTGGTAGAACTAGTCAGCAACAACCTGACTGCTTTTTAAACAAACACACCATCATTCCTACCTCCAAGATGCACACTTAACCTCCACAGGAGCCTTCTCTGGCTTTCTTATTCTCAGAGGAGTCCAAGGCTTCCCAGCACACTTGGAGAATCATCATCAGGGTGATGGACCAAGGGTCTGAGATACTAGCAAATACTCATTTTCTGACCTGAATCTGAGGTTTCCAAACCAGGAAAGTTCTGGTGAATAACTGAATCCAAGCTAATCCTGGTTAAAATGGAGTGTGGCTAATAAAACAATCCAGTTTGGCTGGAAAACTAGTTCTGGGGCGGTTCCCAGGGAAGGCTCGCAAACATCTGAGTGGCATTGGCCTATGTCTGTGGCGGCAACCTGAGAGGATCACACCGAGGCACAGCACTCATTTACATTTCTCAATTTTGATATATTTACTGGGGAAAAAAATCAGTTTGCTCACATTCAAGTACATAAGTTAGTAATGTTTGCAGTATGTCTTTTCGTTTTTACTAACAGATTTTTCTGTTCGTTGAGGTCCTCTACCCTTTTAAGACATATTCTTTGTGTAGAGGTATTTAGGAATTAAGACACTTGTTATTCTATGTTAATGTATTAAGAAAGAAGTAGTCTCATAACTGAAGTAGTGCTGAGGGCAAAATATGCCCTCGCTGGCATACTGGGTTTCTCACTCTGCTCTGGAGAGAATCCAAACCTTCCTGGGTTGGCTGATGGATTCTGAGGGCCAGTGTAGTTCTTTGCATCATCCTCAAGGAGAGAGACGCTCAAGGAGAGCTGTGGTTGGTTTTGGACGGTGCACAAGACAGTGCACAAAACCGTTGCTTTTCCCTGAGATTGTGCCCTGGCTTAGAGAATGCTCAGGCCACCCAGCTCATTTGAGGCAGGGAACCAGAGATTTCTGCAACCACCAGTGAGCCAACCTTCCTCCCTGGGTGGCTTTTATTTTTTTCCTTTACACGTTGTGAAATTAAATCCACAGTCTTTTACATTCAGGAGTTTGGAGACCCAGGCACACCATCATCCACAGCAGGTTTTGCAAACATCACTGGAGAATAACTGCCTCTCTGTGGGGCAACTGAATTGTCTTCTGCCCCAGCCTGGTATGTGCTGGGAGGTACCCTGGTCTCACTCGGCTCAAAATTGCTTTCGTTTTCCATCTGAGCAGCACCAGCCATGGGTCCCGCATTGAAGTGGAGAACACCGCCACCCAGGTGCCCATATCTCAGGCTTTCTCACCTCGTGGTGCTGGCTGCTCTTTTCAGCTTCTGCTCAGGTAAGCAACTTTCAGGAAAAAAGAAAATTAAAACCAAAACTTTAGTAGTTATGCCAGAAGTATCAGTCAGAGGCAAATGGATAGAGATCATTGAGCTTAAGAAAAATATTTAGGAAAGCACCTTGCTGTTTCAAAAATATATCCAGATCTTATCTTACTGTTGCTATGTTGCGTCAACAAGTGAATCCAGGACTTTCTTATGTCTGAACACCTACTGTGCACCAGTTGGGCCTTAAACCCTGATTCCTGAGCCTAGGATTCCTGCCCTCAAAGACATTTGAGTGTGTTAGTTGGAGAAGGCATAACTAACCCACAAGCAAGTACAGAGAGAAGTGCCTGGTCCTGACTGTAAGAGTCCGAAAACCAGGAAAGGCGGGACTAGGTCCCAGCAGGAATTTCCGAAGTGCCCAGAAGACTTTTGGTTCCTCTTCTTGATCCGGTTCTTCTTCAGCATGATGTCTGGTGAGCAGGCTTCACTGGGAGCATCAAGGGAGCCCATTGATGGTTTCTGACCTTTAGAGACACCCACGCTTCTCCTCAGATGGCTGGACAAAAACTCCTTAAGAACCGTCATTGAAATTAGCTCATTTTCACTTACAATTCCTCTTTTGCTAATGTCATCACATGTCAAACCAGAAATCCTGGGATTCTTTTTAGGTGAGAACAAACAGATAACAAGGAAAGACCCTATTATTTAGGACCCCAGATGAGTAAGCTGCTTTCTGTCATGGTGTCTGTCTGGTCCACAGAAAGACCAGGGGCCTGTGTGTCCGGCACAGCCCCTGAGTGAGATGAAAGAGGCCAGAGGGAGGAGCTGGGTGCGAGAGCAAGAGGAGAGAGGAAAGGAAACTTACAGAAGACCTGCTGTGTACTCGGGATATTATGTCATTTAATTGAATTTAATTTTACAATGATCCTGAGAGGTACGTATCATTCCCTATTTACAGATGAGGAAACATTAATCAGCAAATGGCTGAGCTGGGACTAGAACTCAAGTCAATAGCGATCCACAGTCTATGCTCCTTCTATATATCATTTCGGTTTCAGTGTATCTCTTTTAAAAGAGAGTTCAGGTTAGTTAGTTATTATATGCTCCCCTCAAGTATACCTCCCCCTGCCCTACTTTTCAGTTATATTCTATAAAGCTGGGACTGGCAGTGTTCAGCACAATTGCCCAAAGCGGTGCCTTAGATCATCCTGAGTTAGCTCACACTGCTGTGATACCCACCACCCCAATCTTTCTTTCTAAACACTGTGGTGGGACCGCATCCAGTCTGATGAGATGGACAGGTCCTAGTGCTCCACGGTCCTGCCAACCAAGAAGAGACGGAGCTTGGAAGTGAGCTCCCTAGACATGGGCCTCCCGGTGGCTCTGTGTGGCTTCAAGGGATACAGAGTGGGGAAGGCACAGCACAACAGCATCAGGCACATGTGAAAGAACCTGGGCCTGAGAGCAACTCTGCTTTTAGGTCAAGCACAGCATAGGAAGGGTAACTATGCCTTCTGAGCCAAAAAAACAGAAAGTATCGCCTGGCAAGGGATTTTGGTGCTACTGATGAGGGCTTGGCAGCTAAAAAGAGATGGAGTTTGGATGCTGAAATGTTGGTATTTCTGGGATGTACTGATGGGAAAATAGGCAGAATGTTTTAAATGGGGCCTCTTACCAGAACTAGATCGTAGGAGAACTGCTGTGCAGATTGCAGGTAGCTAAGAGAGGTAAAGACAGGATATAGATACATTAGGGTAGCTAAAGAGAGCAGAAATATAAGAGTCCAGAGGTATAACTTAGGCCTCGTCTGGTGGGGACCAGGAGAGGCATTTCAACCTGAAGTCATGAGGTTGGTTCAGGCCTGGAAGGAGGACTCTTTCTCAAAGCAAAGGAGCTTAGTGGTGGGGCCTGGTTGGGGTACAGGCAGTGTTGGCTTACTTACCCCTGGAACTTGGGCCTAAAAGTGGGGAAACCAGTAAAAAAGGAGTGGCCCGAAAAGCCTGAAGTGTAAAGCCAGGGCGGTTTCCTTTCCTGGGCTTACTTCCCTCATCTGTGAATAAGATCATCTTAATGAATGATCATGGAAGTCCCTTCAGGATCTCGCATTCCTTAATTATGACGTCCATGAGACTGAGACTGAGTACATTGTCTACCTGTAGTTGACACTCATGTGCTAGGTCTCCTAAAATCCTTCTTTTTATGAGACCAGTGGACCTTCTATACCTCACTGTCCATGGGCAGATAAATGGAAAAGAAAATGTACCATATACATACAATGGAATATTATTCATTATCATTATTATCATGGTCATTTCCTAAAAAGGAAGGAGATTCTGGCACATGTTAAAACATGGATGAACCTTGAAGACATTAAGCTAAGTGAAATGAAGCCATTCACAAAAAGGCAAATACTGTATGATTCCACATACATGCAGTATCTAAAATAATCAAGTTCATAGAAACAGAGCATTCAGTGATAGTTACAAGGGGCTGGAGAGAGGGAGAAAGAGGAGTTGTTTAGTGCATGCAGAGTTCCAGATTTACAAGATTAAAAAGTTCTGGAGATCTGTTTTACAAGAACGTGAATATTCTTAACACTAATGAACCATACACTTAAAAATGGTTAAGATGCTAAATTTTTTAGTCTCTCTCTCACAAACACACACACACACACACAAAAGGTAAAAAGAAAGTACCAGGAACTAATAAATAAATAAATAAATAAATAAATAAAAATCAAACCGAATTCTTTGACCCTGTTTACCACTAGATACAACACCCTGAATTCTGCTACTGCCTACTCTGAATTTCTGCTTGTCCAGAATCTATATTCAATAACTATAATCTTTTCTGTTGCTTATCCTTAGGCACCATCCAGGTGACCAAGACAGTGAAAGAAAAGGTAGTACTATCCTGTGATTACAACATTTCTACTGATGAACTGACAACAGTTCGCATCTACTGGCAAAAGGATAATGAAATGGTGCTGGCTGTCATGTCTGGAAAAGTAACAGTGTGGCCGGAGTACGAGAACCGCACCTTACATGACATCCCTAATAACGTGTCCATTATGATCCTGGCTCTGCGCCTGTCGGACAATGGCACATACACCTGTGTCATCCAGAAGACTGAAAAAGGGTCTTACAAAGTGGAACACCTAACTTCAGTGATGTTATTCATCAGAGGTCAGTGAGGTTTTCTGATTTACAATAAGCAAGCAGACTCTTGAGGCCCTTAAAGACATACTCCTGTTGATTTAGGTAGAAATTTTACCAAAGAGGGAAGTATCTCACTTCGTTTTCTAGGGTTAAATGAGTCTCTAGTTTTACAATAAACCCTAATTGATTTCTTAAGCTGCCTGGAAATACCTATTGGTGTGCATTTCTTGCACTTCAACAATCCAAGTTCATAACAATCACATATCATGTATCTGGCACTATAATGACCTGAAGTGCCTTTTGATTCATAAGGGGACACATTTGACTTGATGTAGCTGTACTATTCACAGTACTTGATCTATTAATATGTTCTTGTGAAACTATTTTGAAATATTTAAGAGCAATTCAGGCACAAATATTTTTCAAATAGTATTTGAATGGCTATGAGTATGGCTATTGTACTATTATATCTATTATACCATCAAAGTTAGACATTATAGAAATGGATGCATAATTTATGCCTGCCACAGGAAAGAAAATTAGTTCAGAAATTAGAGCCCTATTTATGCATATACTGTGGAGGGCAAGCACTTCTTATCCTGGGTAGGAAGGAGCCTTGCCTTAATAACAGGTGATAGTATTGGAGAATTCTGAAATAGCCTGAGCCCTTGTTGGGAAATTACAGCCCAGGGCCATTCCTTCATACCTGAAATTCAACCACACTTCTTCTTCTTCCTGGGCACTTGAGCCTTTAGTGGAAACCAAATCTGTTACTTCATAAAAGATAATGATTAACTTTCATAATAGGCAACATAAGTGGATTCTCAATGGAATCTTCACTGTTCTCTGTTTTCATCTTTAGCTCTGTTGGATCTTTAGCTGTAGCATCCAAATCACACTTAAAGCTTAGGAGGTAAGCCAGTTACATGGAATTGTCTTAAAGCTTACCCTGTGAATTTCTTGCTCATGGAGAGAGCAAATAATTATATATGGTGGTGTGATCTGAGGGGTTCTAAGAAGCTCACCTCCCTGAAAATTCCGACCTGCATTGATTCCTGGAATTCCCACCATTTTTTGTTGCTCCTGCTATTTTCAGCATTTCCTCCCCTACAAAATACCTGTTAATAATGAAAATGTGTTACTTGAGTGAGGTTGCAACACCAGCATATTAAGCTGTATTAGCTAATTCACATTAGATACATGGTTCTCTAATCAAGGACCCAAAGATAATTAGATTCAGGACATGCATATTTTGATAGGTAAAGAAGAAGTTCCTCAGGGGAAAAGAGGCAGAGTCCCAGGGAGGGCAGCCCCTACTAGCAGATCACATAGGAAGCCAGCTAAAAGGGCAGCGTGAGAGTGCTGGGGGCCTCAAAATCAGGTACAGGAAAAAAAAGGAGAAACTTCACTGGCTCAATTTGACCCAGAAACAATCAAGTCTGATTTTCCAATTGAGTCAGTTACAGAAGTGCTTCTTACATGCTAAGGGGTCTACAGATCACTTGGGGACTTGTTAAAATGCAGACTCAAATTCAGTAGGTCCTGGGTGGATCTCTGATTCTGCACTGCTAACAAACTCTCAGGTGATTCCTGTGCTGCTCTGGAGGACCACAGTGTGAGAAGAAATTGAACAATCTCTTACTTGGATAGGGTGACCAACTTTCCCATTTTACCTGGGACTGAAGGTCTTCAGACACAAGGTTTTCAGTCCTAAAACTAGAAGGTCTCAGGCTAATCAGAACAAACTGGTTTGGCTAGATGGCAAAATGATATAAAATCAGCATAGCACATTTGAAAAAATAACTATAAAACTGGGGTTAATTGATTAAAATGAGATACAAAGGAGTAATTCTTTGATGGTTCACAGCCTTTGTCCTGCTTCAGGGTTTCAGCCCTGGGCAAGTTCACTATGGATTCAGTGAGACCGAGAAATGACAATAGAATGTTTTTGGGGTAAAGTGTTTATATCCAGCTTTATTCTCCCAGCAGCAGGTTGAGCACTAGAATCACATCTGCATCTAGCAGTCTGCAGGTCTGTAATCCACCTCCGTCTCTGCCCCCACCCAGAGAATGGGGCAGACCTCATTACATAATGACTCAGTCAATAATAGTTCATTGCCTATATGGTGTGGCAGCAGTAGCCTAGCAGTAGGCCAATGACATCATCAAGTAGTTTAGGGTCAGGTGAGGATTCTGGCCATAGGAACTTCCATTTTCCCCATAGTTTTGAATGGCCTTAGGAGCTGGTACTCTAAATAGGTCACCTTATAGTAGGGAAAAGAGATGGAGCTGAGGCTCTTCCAAGTCCAGCCAGACCCTGAAAAGATCATTTTCAATACAGTTGCCAGGTATTAATAGCATTCTTGTTGTTAAATATTTCTCAGTAAAGCAGAGTGCAGAAATGGACATGAATCATAATTTAGGATATGAGTTACTTGGACCTATTATTCTAGTTTACAACACATGACATATTGATGTTATAGGAAACAAAGGGAATATTCTTGATATCAGCTACCAGTGGAATGATTTGATCTTATAGGATGAATTAAAGGAATAGGAAATAATAATGTCAACTGAAAATGGCTCAGGAAAATCCCAATTAATTCCGGAACAAGGTTATTTTGAAAAAGAAAGGCAACTTCACGTCCAACCAAATCCAAGTTTTTCCTTTTCTTGGCAATTATAATTATTTATGATAACTTCCCCTTTCCCTTATTTTTCACTGTGCCACTGGACAGTTCTGTAAGCTCTCATTTGGCAAGTTGATTTAAATGAGGAAACTCATCTCAGAGAAGATTTTAAATTTAAAACCCACATAAATTGACTATTAACTAAATTCCTGAATGTCAGGATCTTTGCTACATGATTTATATAAATGTATCATTTAACTCTTACAACCCTGAGAGGCAGGTATTATCATACCCATCTTACAGATGAGAAAACTAAGACTAAAAGTGATTTAAGTAATTGGCCCAGGGTTGAAAGACAAAACTGTTTTTAAAACCTGTTCTTGATGACCACTATACCATAGTACATCTCTCTTTGGGACTCTGAATTCTGAACAGAAATCTAACTATATAGGATGAAGTATGGGGGATTGGCTCCCCACATGCATGCTGAGAAGTATAAATTCTTTAAGCCTAAGAATAAGTGATAAAGAGGCAAGGGGAACTTTCTCTTGTGTTCTCTGCAGTCATTTCACTATGATTTGCTTCATATGTGCTTTAGTATCTTATTGGGGCTAAATATACAAATGAAAGAGTGCCTCAAGTATCTTGGAGGAATATAATAGGAAGGTCTCTGTCCTTGTAAGACATTTCAGAATAGCAAGGGAATCAATAGAATATGGTAGTTGAGATTACAGGCTCAATATTGTATAATTTGGACAGAGATTTATCTGGTTAAAGACTACTTTTGAAAAAGTAAGGAAATGCTAAGCAAAATTTAAAGTAGTGGTTACCCCAGGTGTGGGAAGTAGGGAGACAGTAAAGGCAAGCCCATACAAGTAGATTTACTAAGTTACTGTCAAAGTTCCGGCTCTCAAGTTAGATGAAGGGTTCACAGATGTTTATTGTAGTGTTAATTAATAGATAAATAAAAGAGATTCATTTTAATATACTTCAAATATTAGGAGGAAAAGGAAGAAATTAAAGTAAAAGAAAAGAAAACAATAGAAGACAAGAAAAGGGAAGACCCTAGTATCAGAGAAGCTTGAATTCAGACCCCAATTCTGCCTCTTATGAGTTGTGATTTCTCTAGACCCCAATCTGATTATTTGTAAATATGAAATCATACAGAATTACTGAGCATATCATATTAAATCATATGAAATTACTGGTATTTGACCTTTTTTGATCTACAACCCACTTTCTAGGGTTGTTGGAAGGATGAAATGAAGTAATGTCCAGACTTTACAATGAGCTCCATGAATGCTGCCTATTATTTTTCTCTTCAGTTCTTACAAATGCAAATACTATGTCAACATCCATTCACATGACCTTACTTCTTCTCCTTTTCTCTACGCCCTTCAAAAGTGATAAATGGACCAAAAAAAACAATTCAAACCAAAGTAAGTCTTTGGATTATATGTAACTACTACTGACCTATAGGAAGTTGCAAATTATCTCATCCTCATTACTAAAGCTAGATAATTTATTAAAAATATAACCCCCTCACAAATATGTAACTTTCAGTAAAAATATGTACTTCCATTCTTGTTCTTTCCTCAGCTGACTTCCCTATCCCTAGTATAACTGACCTTGGAAATCCATCTCCTACAATCAAAAGGATAATTTGCGCAACCTCTGGAGGTTTTCCAGAGCCTCACCTTTCCTGGTTGGAAAATGGAGAAGAAGTAAATGCCATCAACACGACAGTTTCTCAAGATCCTGAAACTAAGCTTTATACTATTAGCAGTGAACTGGATTTCAACGTGACAACCAACCACAGCTTCATTTGTCTTGTCAAGTATGGAGACCTAATGGTGTCACAGACTTTCAACTGGAAAAAATGTAAGTGATCTACTGTGTAGAACCCAAAAAGAAAATAACTCAGCCAGATACATTTTACAGCTGTGTGTATCAATTTGGGTAGTATTTTTTGTAGGATTTTTAGACACACAAATAAAATGCTGAAGTGTTATTGTGACTTATTTAGATCACTGTACAAGAGGTAGCTGTAAGGTTACTAGACTCATTTTTTTTTTAAATAGATAAGATTTAGACATCCAAAGAAGTATTCTTCATCAAGTATTCATCTTAGGAAGTTATTGGGACATTGTTGTTATTGAAAGCAATAAAATGTGTCCTTTTGGGAACTGCCCTCGGGGCTCTGGTGCTTTCTTTTGGGGCACTCCCTCCCCCACTGTCCCATGGTGTCAGATCCTTGTCTTTTGTGGGTGAATGATCCTTTCAAGAACTATTGGTTCATTCAGAACAAAGTCTGGTGAAGAAGGTAAATGACAAACCACTTGAGAACAATGCCTGAAAAAAGTCATTTTTGACCAAATACTTTACCTTATAGGTAGTAAACTTCCAGAATTTTCTTTCCCCAAGAGGTGAAATCATCTGAAAATATAAGATGGAAAAAGTTGAGCTTACATAAATTTATGCATGTTAAACCCACACTGGGTTATTATAGAAGAACTCATACTTGAAATGTGTCTAACTTGCATGGCTGATTATATGGGGACCACCAGGTTCCTCCATGACCCCCAGCCCCCAGCCCCAGTCCTAACAATATACTTCATGGCTGCATATAAACAAACACTACACTGAGTTTGATACATAGTGGTACATAGGTAATATATAATGTATAACATGTCTTATGTCTTCTTTTTGTTGTGTAGTAGAGGAAATATTTTAGATGATGTAGTGGTTCATTCTAGGGAATCATTTACTCTAGATCTTTCTGTTTTGAGGTGATTCCTTCAATATTTTCTGCACCAGGAAATAAGATAGTTTCCTGGGAAAATTAGTTCAAATATAAATTTGGACATGATTTTATTGATAGTCCAAACTCATCACTCTCAATCATCTTTAATGTATTCTAAAAAAATAGTGTAAGGATGAGGTTTGATTCATATGGTAATGATAGTTTATTAATTTGGCATTATGTTTCACTTCACTGATATGTCATTATTTAACCAATTTTGATTACCATGATTAAGGTGGGGAGTAGTACACAAATCAGTAAGCAGCTTCAATCATATTTGATTTTGGATATTATTTATATTTGGAATATGGGCATGTATGGTATTCTAGGAAAGGGGTTAGCAAAAATTTTCAGGAAAGAGCCAGAGAGTAAATATGTTGGTCTTTATAGGTCATATGGTCTCTTTCAACAACTCATTTTGGCTGTTAGTGCCTGAAAGCAGCCACAGACAAGACAAATGAAGGACGTAGCTGTGTTCTAAAATAGCTTTATTTGAAAAAATAGGTGGTAGGCCAAGTTTGGCCTGTGCACTGTAATTTGCTAACTTGCGGGAAATACAATGTAGCCCTGTAAGTGAAGGATGGAGCTATTATTCCAAGATAACTGAAACCGCCCAGCTTTATCATCCTTTCCTTAATATGCCTTCTCTCAATTCTTCCTTCATGCTAAGGATGAGCAGTATCCCTTTTCAGTCTAATTCAAAATTCTAACTCTTTGCCCTATTTGCCTTGTACTCACAATGATTAATAGAGATATGATTAAATGTATGGCTTTATTTGTTCCTACATTCATTCAATCTTAAGTATTTTTCACATAACAAGCACTTTGTGAGGTACTAGTGTTGTCTTTATGGTCAGAGAGCTTAAGCATACCAATACTTCAAATCTCATTACATAAACTGCAGGCATTATTTAGAGTCAAAAGCAAATGATGCGTTTGTGGGTGGCCAAGGGCTGACTGCATAAACAAACATAACTTAGGTGTATAGTTCATAGAAATGTTACAAATCAATGGGAGTACAGCTTTATTATATACATATCTGGTCCTTAAAAAACCCCAAATTGGGTCAGTGATTCTTTTAGTGTGGGGCCAAATATGTGAACCCTGATGTATGTGAGTGTGGAAGGAGGTTAATCAGGGAATCCCACCCACAGTGTCTAATAAGCCATATGTGCCAATGTCTTCACCTAACTGTGCACTCTGGGTTCTGGGTCTGCTCTGTGGTACATTACCAGGTTCCTAACAGGCAGCACGACAGAGCTGTTTTGCTGTTACTTCTTTCCTTCAAACATACATTCCCTTGCTAGGTGGACTGAAGCTAGTGGGTGGGAGGGGCTGGCCTCTGAGAGGAAGCCAGGAGTGAGTCCTGTGGAACTCCTAGCCTCCCAAGAGGACAGCGAGAGCTTCTTTGTTATTTTGGGTGGCTTTATTGCAGTGGCAGAATGTGTGGGAATTTCTAGAGCCTAGGAAACCAGAGGCAAAGAGACTAGTATGGAGGCTGCTAGGTGGGAGACAAGAAACACCTGAGCTATGGCAGTTGCCCCCAAGAGATTTGGGGAAGAGGAATCAATTGCAGAGAAATTCTGAATACAGAATAGAAAGTCAGTAGGAGCCTATAGGACAGTGAGCCTTCACGGGGCTGTGGGTCTTCACAAAGGCCAGCCTTCACTCTTATTTGAGTAACCAATGGTCTTGCTGCTTACTGAAAGGGGAGCATATAAGTGGTAGATATGCTTTGGAAAAAATATAGTGAATTCACTTTTAATCAGGTGGTGATGCTGGCATTCAACCATCTAGTCGGCAGCTGGAAATGGAAATCTGGAGCTCAGAAATGTGATACACAGATTTTAGAAATTAGATGATATTCAAACCTTAGGTGTGGACAAGATCACCCAGGAGGCCTGGGGCTAATGAGAGGAGAATGGGGTTACAGACAGAACCAGGGGGAACAATGACATTTAAAGAACAAGAAGAAGAGAAAGAACCTACAAAGAAAACTAAATCACAGCAAGTAGAAACAAAAGAATGTGGTGTCACTGAAGTCCAAGGAGAAGAAGGTCTCAACTGGGCCAAATGCTGATGGGAAGTCCAATAAGCTAAAGAGAAAAATTTATCCACAAGGCTTGGTAATCAGGAAAATAAAAAACATTAAGTTAGTAAATGTTCAATATCTATTTGTAAGACATTCAAGAGAAATCAGAAGAGGATAAACTAATATTCCTTTTAATTTGTGTCCCTGCCCTTTCTCCAGACACTGTTGCTAACTCTTCCTCAAAGGGATTGAGGAATAAATGGTGTAGCTGCTCTGCCTGATCAGGAGAAACAGCAGTATTATGTACATCTTTCTACTCTTTACCCACATCCTTCCTCACATCCCCTGCATTCTCTCTGTTCCTGTGTTCTTCAGCTGATAGCCAGCTTGCAGAGTTCTCCTCCAGGATTCCCCCACCTAATGCCAACCCACATCCATTCTTAGTTCTTTCCTGGGCCTCTTCTATCCTTCCAGAAGTTCTAGGCTGGATGGTGAAAAATATGTATCTGAAAATGAATGCACAGTGGCTTGTGTAGCTTTAGGCAGCTACTCTGTGTGTGTGTGTGCACACGTGTGTGTGTGTGTGTGCACGCACATGCGCTTAGAAAACATGCTAAGAAAGGGGGAAGGCATGACAGAGCTAGAGAAGAAAAAACAAGGTATATCTAAAACATGACATCACTAATTATTAATAGTAATATACTAATAGCAGCTATAAAAATGAGATAAGATGGCTTTTAAGGTATCTCCTTAGAATAATTTTTACGCCAGTTCAACTCAGTAAATGCCAAAGTTCAACATTTCTTTTACACATTCAATATCTGACATCTGTATATTAGTTGGCCACAAGAATGTGTCTGATCAAAGAGTTATACAAGAAAAATGCTAGCAGCTAATTGGAGAGCTGACCAGGCAAAGAAGGGAAAAATACTTTCTACAGTTGTGGCAATGTAAGAGGCACAGAATAGAAACACATTGGAGCTGACACTATTCTTTCCCTCCACAGCTGAGGCACACTCTTCTGAAGCTCAGTTCCCACTCTGGGCCATTCTCCTAATCTTATTAAGTGGGGTTTTTGTGATCGGAAGCTGTTTAGCCCACAGTAAGTACTATTTGTACTATCATTCTGACCTCAGTTCCTGGAAGCCCAAACTCTGTCAATATGATTCAGCAGCTCTCCACGATTTTAGCAACTCTCCTATCTTTTCTCATTTTTGCAAAGTCTATGGGAACTTTAGTGTCTCCTTTACTTGCCTTGGAGGTTCTGCTCATTCACTGGATAGACATTTCGCTACTGTCTGCCAAGCACTCTAATGGGCACTGGACTTACAAAGATGAGAAATCAGCACCCTCAAGATACATTCTAGTTTAGTCCTCTTATTTCCCAACTTTACAATATTTTCTTGGAGACACTGAGGCTTGCTAACTAGTTTAAAAACATTTCTGATACAAGGTGATATTCTAATCTGATTTGGAACTGGAGGAAAGTAAGAATGACAAGACTTAGGGGGCAAGCATCATTTTTTTTTTTTTGGAGGATAAGAGGCACCAGTGAAGTTGGGAAAATATACAGCCACCGGTGATTTTACCAATTCTTAATTCTTCAGAATACATTTTTGGTTGAAAGATCAGGGGTGGTTGAGGAAAGAAGAGATACCTAGGATATTCTTCTCTGAGTGTAAGTTTTTGGCCTGAAAGATATGGTACCCTCAATTTCTGTAATGAACTGAAGAGGAAGGGCTAGGCCAGAGCTAAGGCCATAGTTACCATGAAGGAACATCAACCTTTCTTGGGTAGAAAATCATCTACACTGAGCAAAAAAAAAAAAAATTGGAAGACCAACATGTACTGATTTTCCCAACCTTCAGCATTAAAAAGGTCAAAGCTCAGAGAAGTCACTAGACTCTTGGCTATGAACAATTCACCCCATTGGTAGGATAGACTGCCCAGCCTTACCCCTGCAGTTCAGAGTTTGTCATCCTTAGTATTACTAACATTTAGGGCCAGACAATTCTTTTAGGGGGCTATTTTTTGCATTAAGATGGTTAGCAGCAGCCCTAGTTTCTACTCACTTATATGCAGTAGCATCTCTTGCCTCAGCTGGGACAACCAAAAATGTCTCCACACATTTCACATGTTCCCTGCGGTTCAGGTGGGGTGGGTGGGGGGAGGTCAGAAATCACTCCAGGTTGAGAACCACTGCTGTAGTGCTAAGCTTACAGTCTGAAGATTGATTGAAATAAATGGACACAATCTAAGGGAAACTCACCTTTCTAAATTTTTGTTTGTGCTTGTCCTCAAGGACCTGTGGCAAGATGGAGTAGGAGGAGGGATGGGAAGAGCATGGAACTGGAAAGGATCTCCCCTATCTGCACAGCCTCTGCAGAAAACGCAGGCTGAACAGATCATCTGGAGGTAACTTTCTTTTGCTCTTCTCTACCAATGAGGAGTATAGGAGGTCATGTGGATCACGAGGCAGTGCTTTCCTCCTCTAAACGCCAAATTTAAGATCTTTTACCTACTATCCAACCTTCTCAAAAATGTTGTTCAGATTACTCTGAACAGATGTTAGCATCTCTCTCCATTCCCCTACGATTTGCTATTGTAATCTCTTCCTTTGCCGTGCCATTCTGCCACCCTGAAATGTTCCCCTCTTGTCAGTCAAACCAGTGTCTTTCATTATCTACACATGCTGTAATTTCATCTTGAAATAATATTCTTAGCCTAACTCCTTATTTTCCCTGATGGACACAGATTAGGGTTACTTACGAGTCTTTTATACTAACTCAGTCACATCCTCATTGGTCTCTGCCTCTTATACACAGTCACCCTACTAACACAATCACAGAGACAAATTTCATAAAGCACTATTTTTCTGTGTCATTTTCCCAGAAACTCAGAAGAGATCCCAGTGCCTACAGGAAAAGTTTCAAAGCTTTTAACTTTTCACAGTCAGTCTACACATTCTCAGTTCTTTCCACTGCTCCTCACATGGCAGTTTCCAAAAGCTTCGTGGGAACACACTAGATGTCAAACAGAGTCTGAGATTTCTGACTTGGTCTGATTCTACATACGATGGGATAATTACTTTCTAGGATGTGGGAAGTTCTTTCTGTTAATCCTAACATTGCATCAGCTTTTGTGACTCACACTGAGAACACATATATTTTGTGTTATCTTGAAGTCCCCAAGAGAAACATTGGAATGTTATTATCTAAGAGACTGACATCAGGTCCAGGATGGTTTATAGCTTCTGTAAATAGTTTAGTATTGACTTATGAAGGTTAGGATAACACTGAAGAATATCAAACGAGAGTCTAAAGAGTTATCTTAAAAATACAATGAGACTTACATAACAGGTATGTTTTGCAAAAGCATTATCTCATCTTAGTCTTTTTAAAATCTCTATGAGTAAGATCTTTCTATTTCCATTTCATGGGAGAGAACCACCTGAGGCTCCTGTAGGTTGAGTGATTTGCCTAAAGCCAGGCAGATGTGGAACAAAACCAGGGCTCAAACTGGACATGGAGCTCTGAAAGATCCCTGTTAGATACTGTAGCAGCCTATCTGTATCTTCCCACAGCAGTCTCTCCATTTTCTATCCTGTTTTCCTTCCATTTCAACTTTTTGCTCCCTCCTCAGGATGTTCCCCTCAGTCATATTATTACCTAGAATATCCTTGACTTGCCTTCTATCTTAAAAGACTTCTGCCCAGTTGGCTGATACCTCATAATATAGCCAGTCTTCTACATGTGGACATCTTGTCCAGTTCGAGCAGTTCTGCCTCTGAACCACTGCAGCAGTTCTTTCTCTGGCACATCAATCACATTCCATCCCAGGTCTATTTTCATGTGCCATGTTTTATATTCTTTGCCAAATTGTAGGCTTATTGGGAAAAGCAACATGCCTGATACATCTTTGTGTTTGCCCCACAGGAGAATGCCTTGATTAATAACATTTGGCTATTTGATAATAGCTGGGATTTAATATTTGCCTGGTATTTCATGTAGTGAAAACTGTCATACTTGTCCTAAACTCTCTCATAATTTAGACTTCACTTTATATTCTTTAGCCACCAAGATTAATAATACAATGTTACCTCAAGTTGGGGACACCTTTGTGATAAAAAACATAAAATTTAGAAATGCTTTCCTGCTTTGGGAAGTCAGGGTGTGAAGTGCTCATTTACTTCTTGTTTCCTCAGGTCCCACCTCCACCTGAGAGTCCTCTTCTTGGAACATCCTCAGATGGACGGGATGAGCCCACGTTCTTTCATGTGTCTGTTCTCCAGGAGCCTCTGTTCTCCAGGAGCCTCTTCATTTCAGTGGCTTTACAGTGACTAGAGCGACATGGTGGATGGAAGTAGCTCTGGTGACCTTGATGAAGTAATTTAGAAACACGTAATTCTTCAGGCCTGGAGGAGACATTGGACAATACTTGTCTCATTAACAGCAAGTTAGCCAATGTCCAGGGAGTGAGCTGAGTGATAAAGGCCAGAGCCAGAACCCAGATTGCCTTGTCTCTGGTGCTCTTTTCCTTCACCAGCCCAGCTCTGTGCTATTAACTGGTATGCATATATACATATACATATACACGTCAGTCAAAGTGCTTCTGGGATCAGTTTCTCCACCATTAGATCAACTTCAGAGACTTGATCTGAGGCAATGCAAGAGTATTTATGTTGTTGTAGAAAGCAGTCTAACGTTAACATGTGGGAAGCAAGTTGGTATGGATACCTATATGAGGATAATGTAAATATTGGTGTTTAGCCAGTACTTTATCTTTTATCATGTTTTCCTCTGTTGCTCTCCCACTTTTCCATCAAATTTAGGAGAAAATTGATCTTAACAAAACAAATTTCCTCTGACATGTAAGATGAACAACTTACATACCTCAAAGCAATAGCCATGTTGGGAAGGGATACTTTGGTTTAAAGAGTCACATTGTAATGGTTCATATTGGACTGATAATCTCCTTAGATAGCTTTATGCTAGTTTAACCTCTTCTGCAACATATTTATGAAGAAGTTCTCATTTAAAATGAGGTAGGTTTTTATTAGGTATATACTTAACAGTAAGCTGTCTTAAGAAGAAATTGATGGAGGTCATGAAAATAGCATTCCATAGGAAACAGCATTCCATAACTAATTCCTTAGATCCCTAACGTGGCTTTTCCTCCTTTGCCTATCTAGATCCTTCTGACATCAGCAGAGAATTGAAAAGAAAGAGGTGCCCAGCTGCTGTTCCTATGTTGCTTACTCATGATTCCTCTTTCTCTGAAATTACCTTCCATAACTCAATGGCCCAGGAGTGAACCTGACTTAAGCTGGGGCAGTCAGTCATTCTCATCTGAAAATTTGTTGGAGTTGGACAGAATGTTGATCAAGTTTCTCAAATGTAGCTGGATTTAAAATGTTTAATTTTGGTACTTATGAGGGGACTAGATTATGCTAGATAGTCTAAGGAACAAAAATACACTTTTAAATGGTTGATCTCAGAACAAAATAACTGAAGAAAATAAAGGAAGGTGACTATAAGAACTTAAAGCGAAGAAAGAAACAACAACAAAAAATTGGAATTTCTGTATTTAGTTAAGATTAAGAATCCTTAGACATGATCAAAAGGAGACCTCAGTAAGATTCCTCAAGGGAGGAACAACCTAAGACAGGCACAGTCGCAGGGGGGCCATCAGGTGAGAAATTGGGGATCAACAGAGGTGAGGCTTAGAACCTCTCCCCCACTGTTCTGAGAGAAATCTTCTGCATCCGTGGATGTTTTATTGCCCTTGTCTAGCTTGGATTAACACATAGTCTACAGGCACACACCTGATCACCTACATTTGCTCTCTTACAACACTAAACTATGTTTTCTACCTTTATCTTGCATCTACCTACCACTTCAGCATTTTATTAAAAATAATAATAATAAAGAGAGAAATGTGGTATCCACATATAAATCAAGTATAAAAATCAAACGAATATTCATATTTGAACTGATTGTTTATAGTTCATAATG